GACGCCTACCTACTTATTCGTCGTGCCCGACCGGCGTTTTATTACGTTTTCCTAACTACGCCCTCCTCTCTCTCTCTCTATCCTTGCTCGTAGCTGAGAAAATCAGGTGCCGGCTACCGCCGGTGGATGTCCACCTAGAGTGGCCCCATTGTGTTGGATGCAGTTCCGCGCCGCTTTGTGGCCAACCGAAACGCTGCGAGCGATATGATTGGCGTCGACGTCGTCGATTGAGGTGATTAATTGGGCAAGAAACCCACCCACGAAGGCGTCGCCGGCCCCGTTAAGGTCGACAATTTCGCTCTCCGGCACCGGTGATACCTCCACTTCCATGACGTTTTCGCCGGAAGCGATGATAGTACTCATGGCCCCACGCGTGGCAATCACCGTACGCTTACCGGTGAGAGACGGGAGTTGTGAGATTCGCGAGGTGGCAGAACGAATGTGAGCGTCCTGGTCTTCCCGTTGGATGGTTCCGTAGTCTTGTGGCCAGCGTGCCGCGGCGTAGGCCAGCACATCCTCCTCACTCCCGAATATGTAATCAATGTAGGGCATCAAGGCCGCAATGTGGTCCCGAAAAGCGACAGAAATGTAGGGCGCGCTCAGGTTGAAGCAAAAAATCTTACCATACTGCTTTGAGTGCTCAGCGACCGCGAGCAATCCATGTGGACTGGAGACGGTGTTCAGAAAGAAGCCCTCTGCATAGTACAACGAAGCCATCTTAATGCTGCGCTGGACATCGGCATTCTTAAAGTGCTGCAAAGATAGTTCCACCGCAGCACCTAGGTTGGCTACTAGAGAACGTTCCTTCTCAAAAACCAGTCCTGCGCAGGTACCAGTAGGCTTAGTGGCGTGCTCCTCAAACAGAGGTACTACATTAGCTTGCGAAAGTGCTACGTTAAGAATGCTAGAGAAACGGTCTTTTCCGAGTGCACCAACGTACGATATGAGAATATCTGGACGAATCCACGAGAATGTGCGTGCGGTATTCATTGCTGAACCACCAGGCACATAATCGACGTTTATATTGCCATCGACGAGATGATCAAATAGTGGGAGCTGCTCCGGCCGAGCCAGACTAACACTGCCGGGTTGAATATCATACTTGGATAAAAATTCTTCGTCCACATTTGCCATCATGTCAAGTAATGGGTGGCCAAAACAGATTACAGACATACCGCCGTTTTGTTCATGAACCCCATTATTTGTGTTCATACTCTGACTTTCTTTTATTACAAAAGAACAGAAAACAACGCTATCAGTTTTGTTTAAGGCTTAAGCTGAAAATTCAACCAATTACAATGGTTTTATGTATTAATTTATTTTGGGTTTTTCTTTCGGCTTATTCTATTTTTCTGAACATATAAATAAAAAAGTCGAAAAAGGTAATACGAATACCAATTACAGACTATGTGTTTGATTAATTTCAAAAACAAAAGGGGGAAAGATACGTATATAGCATAAATGAAAAGCAGATCAGCATCACACAATTATGTGCCATAATCATGATAAAAAAAATAGTACTGATAGTTCAAATGCGCAGCAGGCTAATTTCCTCATCGATCCATTACTGGACGATAGGGAGAAAACCAACACTGCCCTCACTCCTTTATAAAGTAGCAAGATAAGCAATAAGCGTAATAAACATAAATGGTGAAAACATCGTGATTTTTCGATTGTTGTTATTGTTTGTCTGTTTGTTTTCACTTCAGCATTTAGTGTTTGCGATCACTAGCACTGCTTACCATATTCCATTTTGAAGGGTTTGAAATTGGTCATAGCGACGGGTACGCCAGTTGTCCGCACTGCTTGCGATCAAGTCGCTGGCGTAAAGTGCGTAGTCCACCTCTGAGGTTAAGTCAAAGCGCAATCGAGCACGTATCTTCGAAACAGCCGCTTGAGGATCACCGCCAAGACACGGGAGAGTTGTTTTGGGGACCATTAAAGAAATCAACGCGATGATGTCATCCGCAAACTCACGGACCGCGTCTAAGGCCTGGAATACCAGAACTTTGTAGTAGCCGTACGCGTCGCTACCCTGCCCACCCATGATATCAATGAGCTCTTGAGATAGCTTGAAAGGGGCCGACTCGAAATTGAGCCCCCCTGGTGAGGTCACTAATAAAAACCCAAAGTCAATATGAACCAGCCTCCCATCCCGCGAGAGCATCAAATTTCCGTTGTGACGATCCTTCAGTTGTAAAATGTAGGAAATCACACTGTAGCCGGCCATGCTCTCCACAAAGTTCCGCTCTGCGAAGCGATGCAAGGCCAAATCGGGGTCGCCAAAGACCGCATCAAAAATTTGACTTAATGAATAAGTCGGGCATGATTTTTTGATTTTATCAATCGATTTCGAATCCTCGACGACTTCCAAAAGGCCACAGTGAGAGTTTGTGGGTAACACGCTGTATGGATGTACGGCACAGGTCAAGTTGCATTCCTTCCATATACTTGAAATCGTATAAATGAGCTGCATAGCAAGCTCCTCTTGACGCAAATCGTCCCCTGACTTTACAACCATAGCATGCATATCCCAATTCGGATGTGCCCCCCATGGGGAGGTGGATCTTATACGCGCCTTCAGCTCATCCAGACTTTCCCCGAAACACTTCATTGCAGGACTACCCGATTCAGCTGACTTCTCCCGCACACACCTCGACCCCGACGCTGGACTGTTGAGTGGTGCATTAGATGGGGAGGGAGAAGACATCCTAGGTCCCTGTCTCATCACGGTTTGGGTAAGGTTTTCTGGTACGAAGATTTTATCCGACGTCGGATGTACCTTGAACCTACCATCTGGAAGACGCATTAGCGACTGCGCAGGGTCCTGCATGGTCGTAGTATCGTCTGCTATCACTTCGTACCGAATCAAATATGGAGCACGTTCCCGTGAGGAAAAGACGATGCACTCGTCGACCACAATATTCACAATCCATCGCACTGGGTCCAGACTAGAGCCGAGTGGATGAATCAGTTGCATATTTTGAATTCGCTCGTTAAAATACGACAGATATTTCCGCAGCTCGCCGTTGCGTCGCTTGCGATCTGTAATATGGCATAATTGGTCACCAAGGTCCGTCAGTGTATTTACAAAACAGTGCTCGTCGTTGTATATTCTCAGTCGAAATTCTTTTTGAAGAACATGGTGCGGATCGATCCTGGGCTCCTCAGCGTCACTGAGCGGGGAAGGCCCAGTCAGTCCCTTCCCATCCATCACACGATTAATTGCATAGCTCTCGACACTGTCTTGAAACTGTTTTACGCACTCTGCCATTTCAGAGGACTCAAGAGAGGGGAAAGTAGAAAGGATCAACCACGAAACTCGAAGAGAGGCATACAATGAACGGCCTACGAGAGACAGAATAATATTTCTCAATATTTCACGAACGGTCGCACTTGAGTGCACAAAACTGACATGCAATATCTGTGGAAGGTATTCCTCTAGGATATGTGGACCTAGCCCACGAATTTTTTTTCTGAGTCTCTCCTGCTCTATGGTTGAACTGGATTCAGACAACTGCTGAAGGTAGACCAGGAGGACATGCCTTTCGTTGATCGATTTTCGCTGTTTAGGATGCATCGCTTTAACATGCGTTAAAAGGAATACAACCTGTGAATACAATATAATAAAAATGATGAGGCTAATCAACCGTTAAATGAAATAGACTAGCAAGGGGTCTGCTAAAAACTAAGCCCTTCAAGCTTGAAACTATTTATCAAAAAGAAAAACAAAGTTTTCCGAGGAGCATCACCAATATTTCGAGCAGGGGTCTAAAATATATATTGCGTTGTTATAAAATATATTATCCTTGAAAATGCAAAAAATAATGAACCCTATGATATATTATATTACATTGTTGCATATTATGAAAAAAAAATTGAAAACTTCACATTATTGGCTTGTTTTTCGAAGAGTTGACAAAATATATACACAGTTTACATTGGTGAATGAACGATAAGACTAATTAAAACAGGAAAGGGGAGAAGAACGATAATCCTCTATATAGATATGGGATATGGCGTTGTTTCAGAGAGATCCTAGAATATATGAGCACTACCGTCTGCAGTGATTGTGACCTCATTCATCAAGAACTCATTCTTGAGTACTTCAGAAGCAGTGTGAAGTTCGGGGCTTAGTCTGCAGGATACAGGACGGGCATCCTTTCCCAAGACATCTTCAGGATAGCCGGGAAGCAGCACCTTTGGGGGTCGTTTCAGAGATTGGTGCATGTCACGCAGCCTTGATGCAAATGATGGACGCCTGCAATGATGCAAGACATTCTTGCATGGCCCATCCAGTCTGGAGTTGTACGGCAGAACACTCGCACCTGTTTTTTTAATTGAGGGTTCTATAGAGGGCAGTGCAAACTCAGAAACTATGCTTTCATCCGCTTCGGGGGGTGTTGTTCTACCTTCTCCAGCCACTAAATCCGATGTTGGTAATGCCAGCAACAGAAAGTTTATCAGATCTGAAACGCTGTCGGCCGACGAGAATGATTGCAGATGGAGACCGAGAGCCGCCACGGCCTCCATGAACTGAGAGAAGCCCAAACGAACCTTGATCCACGCGCCTTGTGAAATGTGCCGCATAGGATCATCATCGGAATCGACCAGTCGTTTCTCTAATAAAAGAAAAGAAGCGTGGATGGCCTCTTTCACAGCTGTTTTGCACTGCGCCGCCGCCAGAGTCACATCTGGGGTTAAGCGAAGAGAACAGCATATGTCTTCGAAGTCAGACATTGTAATACATGGTTCACCTCTAGGAAGCGTGCCCGAACCGATATTGATGGGCTTCGCTCGCTGGAAAAAAGCTTCTCGAAGTGAACTCAGAACAGCCGGTGGAACTGGTCGGCACGTGCTAGTTGCCTTTAGCACGGCTGTCTTGGAAGTTAGGATGCCCTCCCCAGTGTTGTGTCGAAGCGAAAAAGACAACTGACGGACAGGTGTGAATTGAAAGTAACCGCATCGATTCGGATACGATCGTGAAGCGGAATTCTTCCTAGTATTTCTATCGTTTTCGCCTTCTTCTTTATACACGACCGCTAATTTAAATAAGCGAACATTCCGCACACTCTCGGGGAGAAGCACCTCCACCCGATTCGGCGCGTACTCCCTACAAAAAGAAGGCTCGTCGTCTATGTATGGTAAATATAACTTTGAGGCATGAGCAACTGAGTTTTTCGATGAAAAGGAGCTTGTAGCATGCTTCCCTACTGTGTCATTCGAAATCATGCCACTTAAACTTCTCTGGGGACCCTTCCTTCTATTACGGTTAACTTTAACGATAGCTTTCGTGTCACTCAGGGCTGACCATGCACGCGCGGTGAATGAATCGAGCTCTGGCAATGACATAGAACTGTTAGAGGCCGCCAATTTTCTATCCACCGCCGCTTCTACCTTATCTTTCATTTCATTCCGAGATTTTGAAAGCGTCAGGTCCTCCTCGTCGAATACCACAGAAACAGGAGGAGCCTTTAACAACTCCACTACACGCCTGAAGATTGGTTTATCAGATGATCTCTTTTGGTTTTCCTCCTTTACTAGAGCTCCATGCCTATCGTTTTGTGAACCCTCCGGTATGATGTAGGTGGGATCAATAGTAATATTGATTCCACCTATAAGAATGGAGGAAATATCGTCAACCAGAATTGTAGTAGGAAACATGTGAGTTATATACGGAACGGCCAAAGCTGTACGATCTAGAAAAAGGGGATCCGCGGCCATACTAGGGGCATTCACACTTTGCAATCGATTAGACAGGCTTAATTTAGTTATGGCTGGACATAAGTAGCGCTCGAAAGTGGACCAGACTTTGGAGGTGATCGAAAGATGATGCTGGAAGTGCGATTCATCTGCAAAAGCTATAACAGACAGCATCAATAGCGCATCCACGAACGAGTCAATCCCAAAAACAAGAGGTGCAGTATTATCATCTGAACTCAAGTTCTCAACCCACCCGTATCGCTCTTTGTGATCTACATCACAATAAAAAATAGAAAGGGCGCTGGCCTTCTGAACTAAAGTGAACTCAGGAAAAACAAACTTGACAAATCTCTCGAACTGTTCGCGATTCATCTCGCCCGAATTGTCGCTGTAGTATTCGAAGAGTGGAATAATGACTGTGTCTTGAAGATTATTGACAATATGGCTGACAACACGGTTGGTTTGAATCGTCCATTCATTTCGTGTGGGATCAAGAAACATTTTAGTGTTTCGATGGACCAAATTACGACTTATGAATGACTTAAGATAGTGCTTGGCGGTATAAGAGATACATTCCCTGAGGCCGATGTTGTCCTCAGAGGAAAGAATGATGGCATCTTGAAGACTTTCCCCAACTTCCTTGTGCAGTTGTGTACATTTCCAAGTTTGATAACATCGCACACTAATGACATTCATGATATCCGTAAAGCCTTCAAAATTCAACAGTCCGTGAGAATAAACTTCATCCCTACTTTTGAAATAGTCTTCTTGCGTAATCGTTTTTGTGCTATCGGTGCTCATACACAGATTTGGTGTAGTGATCTCCGGAGGCGGCATCATAACGCGATGCTTCCACCATAGCTGCTCGACAAGCAAAAGAGAGACTCCATTTTGAGAGTTCAAGAGATTTGCAGAGCGCAGAAATGTAAGAAAGCCCTTGTATGCTATCCGCTGAATTCTAACCCACTCTCCATGACTTAGGGTAATCTCAAATAGCACCCTCCAGGAATACTCCGGATCGACGTGCTTATCCATGGGAAGAAAAGAGTAATTTATACAAGCTTATTTGGTATCTAGCCTCCGTAGTAGTGGTATTTGGGGGGATAAATCTTAGTTCTAGCAATATATGGGTATGAGTATGGGCATAAACTAAGGTATTCCTAAGGTTCAAAAACCTAGATAAGAAAAAAAATGGATATCAATTTATGGATCTACGGATTTCGATTTTCTTTTACGAAATTCTTGGACACATAATATAGATAGACAGCCAACTCGAAAGCTGGTTTTACCATTCGACATAAGCTGCTGTGATCAGATCAAGGGAATATACAAATGCAAATGTTCGCCATTTTTCTATAGTCTTTTTGTGCTTTCTTCTTTCTTACCCTCAAACTAAGAAACATTTAAACTTGTGGAAGGCATAATAATTTATTAGCCTATACAAATATTTACTCGAAGCATGTATTTTGCCATACACGCAATACTTGTCATGAGCTTCGCTTAAAGAGTTTAAATGCATAAGAGAAAGGTACCTTTGTAAAACTCAACCTTATGTAAAGAGCGACGGCGCAAATAATACAAAATGCATTCGCTAGCCCCACAGAAAAATCTTACTCGTTAAACTCAGGTGGATAAGATGATGTAAAGTCGATCCAAACCCCTCACCAACATACGCATCTCCTTCAAAAAAAAACATCAGAAATTAAATAAAAAAAACATTCTTTCAGACCAGAAGCTCTGCTCTTTTCAGAAGCTACAAAGATATGGAGATGCATAATTAAATTCACCAAAGGAAATAAAGAAAATATATTGACTTTCTATGACCAACGAGACAGGAAAGGATTTCGCAGCTCGCAAATGTCATCGTCCTCCTCCTCCTCACCACCTCCACCGCGGGAAGGCGCTGGAGGAGCCAGGGGGGTCAGCGTGGGCTGCCGCTGTGGGGCTCCATTCGGGTTCCGTGGAACCCCGGGTGGGGCCTGTCTAGCTTCCCCGAGCCGTGGCCCAGGCGGTGCCGGTGTCGGGCCCACTGCGGTCCCACCGTGTGCCACGGGCGGACGCCACTCCTGTCCCGGCTCTCTTCCCTGTGGCAGGGCGAACTCCCCTGAACGGTCTATTGGGGGACATGGCAGGCCCGTCCTCGTGGGCTGGGACGACGGTGGGGGAGTGGAGGAGGTCCAGGGGGGGGGGCTGGTGAACCCCTTGGAGGCCACCCCCACAGGTGGGATGGGGGGCGGGGGGACCCCTCTCGGTCGGGGTTCAGACAACAGGGATGGCGGAGGGGGCATCGCTGGACGCGGAGGCTCGGTCCGATCAGGGAGGTTGGTCGGAGGTCGGGAGGCGGACTCCATCTTTGGTGATTCGATAATTGCATCCCTGGGTGGCTTGGCAAGGGCAGGCAATAGATTCTCGGAATTCACTTTGAAACTGGAGAATGGCTCCTCATGAACGGGTTTACTACTACTAAAAGTAGAGGTCTTAACACCCTCTGCTCGGTGTATGGATTTCCGTCTCCATCGGACTCCATTGATTCTCATTATACCCAGCACTGCTGCTAAAACATAAAATCCAACGAAAAGGCAGGCCGTTCTGACACTGTTTATGCTGATAAAAAAAGAGTTTGGCTCACAAAGGTCTATTTGAACCCCTGATTTTTTTCCAACCGCTTCCAGTTCCTCCACCACAGCACGCTGATTGATTGATAGATAATAACGAATAGAACGCCTATGAACTGAATCTGGAAAAGTATTACAAAGGTTTTTTTCATTGTTAGATTCGACCTTCGGGGACACCGATGCATCGTCAAGTCTCCTGCTAGGCATGTTGCTTTCTGCTTTCTTGGTGTGTATTTTGGCTAGAAAGTCCTCCGTATCAGTGGGTGCCACGGCAACTTCCCCAGTCAACGAAGATGAATTCACATCGCTGGCCTTGTGCCCTACATTGGGTTTTATCACAGCCTCAAGATTCAGCTGAAGGGTGCTTACCTGTTCCCCAACCTCCTTAACGAGATCTAGTAAATGAAGAAGATCTTGCACTGCTTTCGCTTCAACCAGCTGAGATCTTTGCCATGATGAGTCCCCTGAAAAACTTTTCATTTCCCGCTTTAGTTCACTTAAACATACAGAAATTTTATCGATAGCACTCAAAACAATGTTTTCTGAATACACTAAGTCTTCATAAGACTCCCCTATGTGCTGGTCCCTATTCTCTAATTGTGATGCATTCTCCGTTACATTTTCCTGTGAAGCATTTTGCAAAGAGAAGCCATTAAAACTGAGTTGATCTTGCTCTTGAGGTTCCATTTCTATATGACTGTCATTGGAAGCCGCTGTTTCCACCCCGAGAATTTCAACTTTCCCTTGTTGCTTTTTGGCATCTTCAGACCCGACTTCAAGATGATCATCGTTTTCCATCTCTGTTGGTTTATGGAGGGATTTCTTTTCATCATGCTCCTCCTGTTTTTTTGCAGCTTCTGGCACCTGAGGTTCTTGGTTCACTGCCTCTGCACTATCCCTTGGAGAATTCTCTGAGTGATTCGCCTCGGACTCAACTCCATTGATTTCTTCATAACTCAAAAGTAAAGGGTGCTTCTCATCCTGAGTCTCATTCTGCGTAGTAGTCATCTGATCTGAGTGCATGATTTCCTCTATTTCTTTCGGATTGTCTTCCCCCTTTACCTTGTCTTTCTGCCCCTCTAAATCATCGATGCCGTGATCATTCTGGAAGCTGTCAACCTTTGGAAGACATGATTCCACCAAATTCAAATCCTCAAAATCATAGAACAATGAAATGTTCAACGAAGAATTCGTCAACTTCGTCAAAAGCAGTGGCAGTGCAGCACGTGGCTTGCTCAATGTCGCCCCACCCTCGCCATTCACGAGGAATGGAAGATATGCAAGAACTAAAAACAATGAAAGTGCTAGCAAAGTACACGAAGAATGAATGCCAGTCCTTGTCTTCATGCAGCGCATAATGCTTATATTATTCTTATAGAAGAGAGGATAAACAAGTAATAGAGGGATTGGATTTCACAACAGCAATAATGATTATCCTTTTTGATACCCAATACTCGCAGTAAGCGAAGATTAATAGTAAATCGTGTGCATAAAAGCATGGAAGGGAAAGAGTATAATGTCAGGATGCAGTGATGGATTTTTTTCAAACAATACTAATATGATGGAAAATAATTAAGAAGGCATCCACTACAAATTTATATATATACATATATATATATATATGTATATATATGTACAAGATATAAGTGAAGTTTCTAGCATGATGAGAAAGGACATGCAGAACTTACGCATTCTTGGATATTGGATAACTTATGTATTCCACCACCTGATCCTGCAAAAGATTATCTACACGAATTGGTTCACGTCCGCCCTCCATTGTACCCGTACCAACCACCATCGTCGTTCCCCCCACGCGTGGCAGCTCTGGTGGGGGAAGGTTCCTTAACTCCGCTGGTATCGGTGGAGGTTTATCGTACCCGACCTCCTCCAGACTGCGGCAGGGTCCGTAAGACTCCCCAGTTAACGGATCGTGTGTTCTCAGCCTGTGCAAGGGCACCTTGATTTCCGTTACCACCATGGGCGTCGTGTTTGGAACATCAGGGGGTGCGGAACACCGACGATGCACATCGGCCCGGTATACTTCGTCGACTGCCGCACGGTTGAGCATATCGTTCGTAGAGGGGATCCGTTGAGGGCGCATTCTCAGTTCAACATCCGCCTCCGCTTTAGCCTGTTTCAAATCTGCTTTGGAAGCCTTCAACACAATCACTACATTTTTATGCTTCAATTCAGAAGCGATGTAAAGAGGTGTTTTGCCATCTTTGTTGCTTAGTGATGCATTGGCACCCGACGCCAACAGGAGATATGCGGAATTATGCCGACCGGCCCTAGCTGCAGCGAATAGTGGGGTTTCTAAATCACCATCTTGCGCGTTGATGTCGGCTTCTTTTTCCAGTAACCAGGTAATGATCTCTTCATAGCCAAAACGAGAGGCTATGTGAAGTGCCGTCTCCTTTCTACTACCATTTACTTGATTCACATTGGCACCTTTATCCACCAGAAGACGAGCGACCGCATGGCGCCTATTAAAAACTGCTATATATAAAGGAGTTTCATTATACTGGTCTTTTTGATCAACGGATGCGCCAAGACTCAGCAGTGCTCTGATGGTGTCGATCTCCACGCAATGCTTCATACATGCAAAATATAGAGGTGTGGAGCCATTTTCGTCAAATTGGTTGATGTTGTTCGCGTTTGCTTCCAATTGGAGGCCCTTGAGATCATTGTTTAGGATACAATCTTGGATTCGCAAGGGCATCGTTGCTTTGAGTATTGGCTTTGCACTTTAGAAAGGACTTTAACCTTTTACCGACCTAATGGAACTCTATAATATTTTTTTGTGACGGTGTATCTTGAAAAAAAAAGAAATAAAGCGTTTTATTGTTTGTATTCCTATACACCTAACCACAAAGTTAAATAGGAGCAGACTAATCGAAAAGCGAGTTGCGATACTGATCTATTGAGCTACCATGTACTCCCTTTGGGAGAAATCATGAGTTCAATTCACGTAAAGAAAGAATATATATTACCCACCTTACGGGCGATTTATGGGCCAGTCTCTTGTTTGAGAAGAATATTATTCGTTTCGTTTATTAGATTTCCTCCTCCACAACAACGTACTCCTGCGCATACGGGGTTGCTTCTGAATAGCAGTTTTTTCTACAAGTGTATAACAACACGTTACTAAAATGGAGAGTATCATTTTTTTCCTCACCTTTGTGCATGGTTAAGAAGTACACGAGGGGTGAAGTAAGCTGGAGCTCAAAACGGCGTTCAGCACCGCACAACGGGCACAGTGGCACGTTGATCACACTAAGCGAAGAACGGAGCGGCTCCCCATCAGGGGACCACCGCACGCACTGAGTTTGAACCCGTGATACCCGCTCCACGTACTTCCGCACACAACGCTCGACAGGTGACTCATCATCTTCCTCGAACGATGTTGTATCAAGTGCGGCGCCCTCACCATATTTTTTTTGTGCTTCCCTTAGTTGATCCTCCGTCGACCCGAAATTTTCCTTTTTAACCTGCGGTTCGATAAAAATATTGAGGGGAATACCATTCGTGAATGTGCACCCCTTTAGGGGTGCGAGACAGCCGCTTTTACATAAAGCAAACGATGGCTCTTCCTTTATGGTCATGAGAGGAAGAAGCGACGTATCAGATTGAGGATCGAGTTCGGAATTCTCCATTTGCGTTGGTGCACTTGTAACATCTATAGGGATGTCTGCACCACAAGGTTCGCTTATATCATCCCAGTCTGCCTCTTCTTGGAAGAGCATATTACCACAATCCCTACGTTTAGAACCAGCTCTTTCCTCAGCAGCCCTCCTCTCCTGCTCTGCACGTTCCACCATCTCCTTGTAATAACACGAGTTGAAGTTTTGGCTCCGCAACGCAAAGCAAAAAGAAGTTGAAGTTGGCTTTGAAGAAATAGGGGGGGTTGTATTCTTCTTATTGCCCGCGGGAACCCTTCCTTTGGGCAGGGATGGATGTAACCCTGTAGCACTTGGGCCACATAGCACACCACACTTCGCACACGTCAAGATATACAGAACGCGATCGTAGCAATCGAGCGGCGCGTAGAGCTGTGCTAAAAGTGAAACGTGGTTAACGAGACCACACTTAGGACAACCAAAATAATCTTTTAGTGCCTCGTTTGGTACGTCACGAAACAGCGCCGCATGGCCACCGACTTTACTGGTAAAAGGATCTAGCACATCTTCTGTGGCGTCCTTGCCCTGTGGCACACCTAACCAGATTTTCTGTTCTGTCTTCATCTTGAAGGGGTAAACAAAAAAAGGTTAATCTGAAAAAAATGAATGTTTTTCTTCTTTTTATCAATGGGAAGAACAATAGAAACGGCAATACAACCATATCGGGAGTATCAAAATAAAAATGAACGTGTAAAGGTGCTTCAAAAAAACGTACGAAAAGATGTCAGGCAATCTTTTCCAATAGGTATCGCAAAATAGTATAAACATCAGCTCACTGTTAATAGAAGGGTGATACACTTCGAGGCCCAAATACTAAGCTTGAGTCAACGCAGATGCTTGCACAATGCAGCATACGTTTCCGAAACCTTGCTATTCAGTTCATCAACTCTGAAAAATTCAGAGATACTGGTTCACTTCTAGAGACAAGCTACGGGGTTGTATGAACAGTTTGTGAAATCTAATCTATCGTACTCAATATTCTAATGGGAAACATCCTCCATCAAAGAGAAATATTAACGCCTCGAATAATTTTATGAATATATCGATTTTAAACGATACAGATGCATAAAAAAAATTATGCACATCTCTCCCACTCTCTCACTCTCCTGCAATATATATATATATATATATTCAATTAAACAAAAGAGAGCTAATTACAATCAATATGCTTTAATAGACTCAATATATACTCGTTCATATACGGTGTGATGAATGGCTTGGCATTCATATTTTCACGCATAGAAGAGAGAATTCGAATGACAAGAGAACTGAGTGGGCCCCGAGCAAGAAATTTAATCAGTGCCCTTGAGAGCATTTCATACATGACCTGGGGCTGAGGCGGCAGTATGGCAAGCGCCACCGCGCAGCTAACCTTTGGACTTTGAAAACTGATCAGACTGATTAACAATGCAGTGATAATCCATACCACATCCGACATGTTTCCCACACACTGAATAGCACATTCCAAGAAAATCAATAGCAAATTTATGATCTCGGGTGTGATAGCGTCATCACCGCTCTTCCCAATGTTCAGCATATGCCGGTGAAGCATGGACAGCAAAACACATAAATAAATCCGGCGCGACGCAAGCGATATTTTGAAATGGTTGAAGAAAAAGAAGACATTATAATAGTCCTTTGCGATGCCATCTGCGATCAACACCTCCAAACATCGTATTTCTGTTTCATTTAGGATCTGACAGCGATCCAAAAGACTAGAAATTAATGCACTTTGGCTATCTGCTGATGATTCGTCGTTAGTTATGTCTTGCTTACTCCGCAAAAGGAGGAAACTCTGCGTTACCAGCTGCTCGGCATGCACGCGACTTGAGAGAAGTTGTATGACAACATCTTCCTCGGAAAGAAGTTGACGCTGTGAACAAAGATGTGATCCAACGGATGCAGAGTGATTTAGTAGACCTTTATTGTAGCTAAATGAATTGTTGACCTCACATGCAGTTGGAATCCTCGGTGCTTTGATCAGGGAATTTTCTCTCCAACCATCAGTAACAAGTATCCGAAGCATGTCCCACTGGCGCCCCCCAACTACCGTGTTAGATATAAGAACTCGCATAAGTTCGTAGCCATTGAAAGTCAGTGCTCTACTTAACGTGACCTCTAATACACCATTCCAGAGCCCCTCACAAATTTTCGAACAAAGCCTCTCGTCATTAGGCCATGAACAGGCTATCACACAGGCAGTGCCTAACAGTTGCATCGCTCCAACAGAAAAAGATAAGTACCCCCATGATGTTGCTAGCTGCAAATCTTCAATAAACTGCTGAGAACAATACGACAACAGCCATGTCATCTTTTTCAATACAGATGAATTAGAACCCAATATGCGGATACACGAATGCGCAGCAAGGTAGGTGAAGTGATCGATGGACATAAGATTTCTAATGCAATTAGATAGGAGTCCATCTGTAGCGAAAGGACCATCATCATAAATATGAAAAGTTTTGCAACATAACAATTTGCAAGCTGTGACAAGGCCAAAAGTATCATAAAATTTAGTAGACGATATGGGTCGGAGAAACAAACCTGTGTGTTCATTTAAAACACTTGTGCGGGACGGCTTTGAGGTGTTGAGAGAGGTCATCTCAAAGCCTTTTAAATACTCTAACAGATGGTTTACAAATGGCTCAAAGAGGTGGACCGAATCCGTTTGCCAGGAACTCTTCTTAAAACTGATGCCTCCATTCGCACAAATAATGGCAAGGGAACCCATCATATCATAAAAGCATCTTGGGGAAGATGTATGCGGATGAGATAACGTTGCACTCACCGTTTCCAAGTAAAAATGCAGCAAATCCATGTACGCATCCCTTTCCTTAACGTTGCTTGGGGCCTGAGGATGTAGACAACCGCAAAGAGAAAGTAAACGCTGTCTATAATGAGGATTCCAAGAGTGACGAACTAAACCATTCCTCCTCATGAAAGGTGGAAGCACGTTCTCATGTACAGCGTTGGAAAGGGTTGAAATTGGCGTGGTCAATGAGCTAATTTTTAAAAAGTTTGAAAAATCAGAACATGAATCAGTAAATCGTATTTGAAATATGTTCTTTCCAGTATCTAAACTACCATTCTTGGAATGGCATAGCGTAGAAGATAGCAACCATAACAAGTACCGCTGCTTATCGGTTGAAACATCGGTATCAAACTCGCTGAGCTGAAGTATACTCGAAAAAATATTCTTCACATCAAACCACGCGCTGGGCAAGAATGTAACGAAATGGCTAACTTTGAGGCAGGTCTTGAAGTGTTCTAGTGTGCCATGTTGCAACAAGGACTTCAGCCACTCAATCCAATTAAATGTTCCCCCAAAGATCCTCACAAGAAGTAACAGTGTAGATTCTTCAATAGAAATCAGCTTCTCAGAGCTAGAAAGCCTTTCCAATACGGCTTCGATTACGTTTCCAATATTTTCAGCGTCATGAAAGCCATAATGCCGAATAATTTTTAGACAAAGCAGAGTATTACTCAGCAGGGTATTATCACTGGAAGCAACAGGATCTACAACATCACAATAAAACCAGGCAAGCAAAAATAAAGCGCTGTATCGAAAGCATTTGGCAAATTCATTATCCAAAGAGCAAACAGAATCCAACAGAGATTCTATGTGCTCCGCAAAAGCTACCGACTCCAAGACTGCATAGCTGTCTTTGTGCCTTCTAGACTGCATTAGACACTGCGCAAGTGCTACGGCTCCATGAACGTTGATTTTTTTAAGTTGATTTTCATTGCACAGAGTATGAAACAATGTAAGACAGTTTTTTCGGCTGCAGCAATCAAACATATCCGTTACAGTCAGATCAGAAAGATGGTCCTCTACCACAAGTTCAGTAGGTGAAGCTGATACTGCAGAGACACCATAGGGCATATAATTAAGCACAGACGAAACATCAAAATTATAAGAGAGATAATCAAAATCTGCACAGCCGCCGTTATCTTTACTAGACTCTATTCCCTTTGCACCATCGGTTATGGGCATATGATTTTGGCCAAGGCCAGTCATTGAGCTATCCTGTCCGTTATGAATCCTCAAAAAATGAATGACTTGCTTCGAGACCTCCATTTCTCTCCACAAGACGCTTTCAGAAGTCCTGCACCGTAGCCTCGAATGTGAAGGAGAATTAACTATCACCATAATCAACAGGCATTTTAACCATGGTTCACAAGGAGTAGAGGATACAGTACCTATTGCCTTATCAATGAAACTGGGATCATTCGAAGCCTTGAGAACAAGGAAGTACGGTGACTGATGCAATTCATATGGAAGGATATGATCAATTTCGATCCCGAGGCCTTTATACTTACAAGAGGCTTCAAAGAGTCCAAAATAAGTACTCAAAAATGCCCTCTCATCAACATATGGGGAAAGCGTACCAAACGGTCTCTCCTCAACCTCACTCAGTAGCAGGAGTTCTTTTGAAATCAAATACAAATACTCCTTGCATCTAATAAGAATACTTAAGTCTGAGTCTCTAGACTCGCGATTGAGATTTTTTACAATGCACTTGTACTTTTCAGGGGTTATCAACAAAGTAACTCTGTGCTTATGAGGTGATTTAACTAATTTCAGTAAAGTTTGAAGCAACGTTTCAACAGCATCAAAACCATAACGTGGTGCATAACCTTTCCTCGACAAAAGTTCGCTAATTACTATTTCCACTAGTGAGAAGTCCGTGTCCACAAGAGAGTAAGCACGAGTTAAGTTAGAAGGGCAATCTAAATCGATGAAAAAAATAAGCAACTCAAAAAGAGCCGGTCCGATCGAAAATAAATCGAGAGAGAACCCACGGATAATGCAATGTCTTATTGCTGGGAAAATATGCACGAAATCCCGACTGAAAAATTCATAATTCTCATGTTCGCTCAGAGATGTGAAAACAAGTTTGGTAAAAATCTTTAGGAAATGGAAAACGCTCTGGGGATTAGTCTCAACAAAAATGCTGATACATTTCAACAGAGATGAGTGCAGTTTCCTAAGGTGCTGAATAAAAACACGCGAAAGGACACCTATTTCGGTCAGTCGCGTTAAGAAAAGAAATACAGCCTCAATGAAGGCATAAAAATCAGTGTTTTTAAAGGGTTCCGTATTATGGTGAGCTGATAAAAACACATTATTTATTGCTGTTCGAAGAACTGACGGCAGCTCAACAAACGCTCCATAAAAACACTCATCCGATTCAAACATGTATGAAACATCAGGTTCGATAATCTGGGAGCAATAAAATACAATGCTGCACATGAGATTAAATAAATCTTTATGATAGAGCATAGAAATAGGTTGTAACCTGGTTCCCTTTCCGAGACATGCTGTAGCCGCTTGCATCAACTTGATGAAGGTAGTGAGAGGCACCATGCCATTATAGCTAAGCATATTTGTGGTAATGATCTCAAACGAAGACATCATATACATCAACGGGGTGTCATCTACCATAATATGAGATTTGGAAAATTCATCAAGTTTAATAATGGCAGTACATGCATTTTCGGTCGCAGTCGACTTTCCACTTATTTCTCCTACGGACTCACTCAATCGATGTAAAAAGAAATTTGCCATGGATTTCAAATTATGAGTTATGTGATACAGTGATGACTGATTAATGGATATCTGGGGGATGTCACGATACCATGATTTTTCAAAGAAATCTATTTCTCTAAAATTTGGAGATTCTAGGAACGACTCTTCGATAATTTGTGTAGTGCACCAGTTCAACAGGGTTTCCAATGCACCCTTTTGCACAGCTGGATGGTCTGAATCAAAGCACTGGATAACATATAATAACAGATTGGGGGAATATGCGCAAGAAATCTGAATGAGTTCTAAAACGAGTAGCTGGATGGAACAGTTGTATTTTAACACGATTGGCGCTTTGGAAATAAGAGTGAAAAGCCTATTAAATAAATCCTCCGAAGCCTTTTTTCGTTTCTTCAGCTTCATGAAGCTGGTTTTGAAAACGCTAAGAATTCCACAAACCTTCATTACACAGCCTTTCTGAATAAAGTCGTAACATAAGTCGAGTAGCATAGGCTGTATATTTAGTATCTCATTTACTTGTATAGCTTGGGCTGCATTAGCTATCGCCAAAAAGGCATAAGATCTAGTTGAGGCGTCACCGGTCAAGCTAAAGGAAAAAACAATATCGACGTGTTTCCACCAATTAATTCTTGTTTTCTGGAGAAAGCTCAGCAATGAAGAAAGTAGAAGCCTTCGCGTATTAGTATTTTTCAGAGCCAACAATACCTGATGGCATACTCTTGCCTCCTCGGAAAGGGAAAACTCGGGATCAAATTCCTTCACCCTGATGAAGCAAGAGATAAGTGATGGAATCGGTTGTGCGGAGTCCATTTTATTTTCCAAGAAACATTTGCACACTGCATCATCCAGTAACTCCTTTAAATGTATAAACTCAGAGTATGATGCACCGTTTTCAGCTAGCCTTTGAGATCGATCTATTATCAATGGAGCACAGGAATCAAGGACTAAGGAAAACACATATAGACTCAGTGTTTTCTTAGCAGTATTCAGGAAAGGAATAGGTGGTTCGTAGCCATTGGTAAAGCACACCAAAGAACTTGAGAGGAATGCGCTGGCACGTAACAGGTCACTTTGCACCCATATTCTCATATTTTTCATCAAAATGGCAAGCATCTGGGAGCACAACAATTTCTCGGAAAACATACCAAGTGACTCTACAATTAATCTGAAGCTATTTTTAAAGCCGATATCGACAATAACTTCTTCCTTTGATAACAGCACGACAGCCTCCTGTGCGAAAATACGGAAGGCATTCGCTTTTTCAGAAACTGGAATGTACTCGCTCACATGCGCAAAATGCTGGAAAATGCTTAATTTGATTTTTATATTCTTGCTTTCACGAAGCTTCTGGAACAAAACTGTCCAAACAGTCGAAGGCATACGGGAAGAGAACAATGCCACTAAGACGCCTAACGGGTCATGAATCGTGCTGTGCTGGGAGAGTTCCAAAACATCGCATGCATCTCGAAGCTTTTTGGTAACAGAAGCAGGGTCATTGGCGAGTTTTTGGCGTAGCAAACGAATATCTTTGAAGCTGTTATAATCAAAATCCGTCATCTATTAAATCTAGTAAGAAGTGTATTGAAAATGTAGATATATGCCGTTGTATACTTGCGAAACAGCATGTTGATTGCGAGTACATCATATCAGATGCTTGTTTTAAGGCACTTCCAAAGTAGAAAGCAAGTAATATATTCAGAGAACCCCACCCACCCACACATCCTCACACATCTGAAGAGTGCATAGAAAATCAAAACCCACAGCTGCACATGCCAAATACATTGATGGCGATGTCCCCCTCGCTCTTGGGGAGGGGGGGGGGGGAGAATAGAATGGCCCCCACCCACGCCCCATTCGCCCCGAAGGGCGAAGAAGAATAAAACAAAGAAACTCGAAAACGCAGCAGCTCAGTACTCTGATATTTTCCCAATGGTAGTCCAAACAAACATTTCAATTTTGAGACAATTGATACGCTGGGAGCCTGCCCGGGGCCACATATTATTTTTTATACATGTCGCGGCCCACCGGGCCCCGGAATACGCAGCGCACGTGCGTACAACTCCGTCATGAAAACTTACGATGGTAAAATTTATTCTTATTAATATGTAAAACAATATAATATGGAAAACAATACGTTCTCAGTGCAAATTAGATAGCGACTTTATAGGGGCTCCGTGGGCCACGGCAACCCACGGGATTGCGACCGCAAAAGGCCACCGGGCCACGGCCGGGCGCAGCGACAAAAGGGGAAGCCATGCATTCTATTGGAAAGAGCTTTGGGAACCCATATTCTTGTTGTGGGTAGATTTACAATATTTTTTCAAGGAATTCTTGTGGAAAAAGTGCTCGAAAACAACAGCCGCAGGGCCATTCAAACATGTTTGCGCTTTCAGACCCGCATTTCAAACACACGCGGTGGGTTTTCAATAATATAAATCAAAGCGGGGCCTATGCACTTATTTTCTATATTTAATTCGCTTTTTTATTGGAAAACATGTAAAACACACGACTGGTACAGTGAATTTTCTCTATTAGCGTGGCCAAAACGCATGGGGCTAGGAAACCCCCCACGCCCGCCCAAACATATTAACACGCGCAGGCCCAGTTGCTATTATCCATTATAAATATGCAATATTTAGTCTGCTTTAGTTAAGTGATCTTACTCGATAATGATACAGCTGAGAATATTTAAAAGATTGTGGCCTTGAGGTTTTTCTATACCTAGGCAATTTTGGATAGCATTTAATAAAGTATGTGGAGAACAATAAAACTTGGATTCAAACATGATCCCCCACAAAATAGGAAGACCATGTAAAAATTTAATATGGCATTTTGGTATTTATTTGGCCACATTGGTATATGCAAAAATGGAGGGTTAGGTGAAAACCAATATCTTAAGAGGAAACATCAATTATTTTCCATAAAAGACTGCTGAAAAAAGGCTAATATCCGCATAACCCCATGGGTGTGATTTTTTTGCGCGGTGGTCCTAATTAATTTTAGGTAAATATATTTAATATAGAGAATAGCTGCAATAGACGCAGCCTGGGTAACAGATAGTGGTGTATAAACTTCTAGATATCCATGCTCTAATGACATGCGTGGAAAAAAAACAATAAATTTTCCAACCAACGCAGACAATAGGCCATGGGGGGAATATTTATCACTAGCTCCTATGCACGCGGCGCTTGTAATCATTTAACTATTTTTTTACCATAATACAGAAGTAAACTTAAAAAAATGGTAGATACTTACAACAAATTGGAATGAAATGTGTTATGGATATTGCTCTTCTCTGTAAAAAAGATTATCAGTACTAGATTCAGTTTTTGTGCATTTTGAACCACCTATAAAATTTAAAAAATGAATTGTCAGCTACAGAGAACAATAGACATTTTTAAAAGCAATATTAAAGCATACAAACCAGCACTGTTAAAGATTTTATATAGGGAGTCAAAATAATGAGCATATGCAGGGCGCTTAATTTCTAAATTTGGCTCCGCGGTGATTTATACAAAGATAAAGTATTTTCTTAGCAAATGAAGGCACTGATTATGTGCTCTACTTAGGCTTTGTTATTTTTATACGAACAAAAGAGTAAAATAATTATGTTTGATCGAATTTAAATAATCTTATTAAAGGGCATCGCTATTGAGAGCTAAAATAAAATATCATGATATGTTTCTTCGAAGGTAATATAAGAAAAATCTACGTCAGTGCAAGATAGTGACTCCAAAAAGGGGTGTTTCTCCATATAGACTCCAGTAAAACGTAAAAAAAGTATTCCTTAGTCACTGAAATTTAGAATGTGACCTTTTTTCGGATATAGCAAAAAAATCTTAGGACCCTATTACTCAATCAGAAGCTTCATATTTATTTGCATGGCTACATTCTCAGTAGAAAAGCATTTTAGGCTCAAAATTTCTTTATTTGTCCACATATTGCCTTATTTCAGATAAGTAAAGTTTTTAAGTTCTAAAATTTGTGTTCAACAATATTCCATAAAGAAAGTCGAACTTCTAGGTCCCTCAAAATCATTAAATTTGCCAACTGAGCTTTTTTCGCACCTGAGGGGCACGACACGCGAAAACGCCGCCCAGGCGGCAAAGTAGGTTACAGGAAAAAAACTAGGCCACTGCGAGAATCGAACTCGCGACCCCCACTTTACGAGAGTGGTGCACTACCACTGTGCTAAGCGGCCATGACTGCCGGACCTGGGTAATCTATAGAAAATATAGTTGGTAAAATCAACTAAGAGCAAGTCCTCGACGACTGGCGTGGCCGCTTGGTCTAGTGGCATGATTCCCGCTTCGGGTGCGGGAGGCCACGGGTTCGATTCCCGTAGCGGCCCCTTTTTTTGCATTCCCTTAACCTTGGGGGGGGGGGAAGGAAAGAGACAAAAGGTTGAGACAAGAAAGACTGAAAATTACGGCAGCCGAGGGAAATTCATCAAAAGCCATCAAGTGTTCACATCTGCTGTTATATGAATATATCTATTTTCTTTTGCCAACATTTGTCTTTTTTTTTAGTTATTGCTTTTAACAATAGGTTAATTTTGATCCAGCTTCAACTGGTGAAGCGGGCGATTTTTTACTGAAGATATCATGGATCCTCTTCTGCTTGAGGATGTCCTTTTCCGAAAGCGATGGCCGGGTTGACGCGATGGCTTCAAGGACGTCCTTGCTCGACAACACCTCCTTGATATTGAGATGAGAGGTTACATTGCGCTGTCCCTGGATTGCACGTCTGATCGAGTCAACCACCTTGTCACGAGAAGTGTTTTGGCCGACGTGTGCTACAAAGAACTCGCTTGATCCATCATGCCCCTGCAGGTCATCATGTGCCACCGCAGCGTTGGCGCTTAGGGTCGAGATAATACGCTGGCTGACTAGGGAGTTGGCCGTCGACGCCATTGCGGTCAGGTCGGCCGGCGTCCAGTTGACTGTCAGCGTGGCAAAATGATTGAGTGTGGCATCGTCAAAGGTGACGGACAATTTTTCGAATAGGTTCTTTAGAATTGAAAGTCTGTCAGAATGAGATGGAATCGGGCAGGCCACCGCCTTATCCAGTCGTCCTGGGCGCAGCAGCGCCGCGTCAATCAAGTCAGGCCTACTCGACGCGGCGACCACATACACGTCTTTGCGCCCCTCAACACCATCCAAGTAGCACAGGAGCTGGTTCACAACACGGTCCGTCACGCCGGAGTTGTCTATCCCACGTTGGGGCGCTATAGAATCAAACTCGTCAAAAAACACAACGCACGGCGCCGCAGCCTGGGCTCGCTCAAAAACATCACGAATCTTTTGTTCACTCTGCCCGATATACTTACCAAACACCTCGGGCCCGTTGACAACGATGCAGTTGATATTTTCTGCATTCATCAAGGCTTCAACGATGAACGTTTTGCCACAGCCTGACGCCCCATAGAGTAGGATACCACTGCGGGTCTTAAGCGGGAGGCGAGCAAACAGGTTTGGATGCTTCATGGGCAGAACAAGCGTGTCATAGAGAACCTTCTTAGCTTCGGAGAGGCCACCAATGCTAGCCCAGTTCTGCTTTTCACCCTTGAGAAATTTGATGCCGGTGTGTGCGAGGGGTGTGAAGGTGGAAACCGCCTGCTCCACGTGTCCCACGAAGGAGTCATCCCCTTCCTTGTAGCCCGCGGAGCCGAGCTTGTTTTTGATCCGAAACGACACTTGCTTGACGTCGAAAGGGGTATAGTTATCCATCAGCGCCGCCATCTTGCCAACGTGTTCCTCAGTCACTTTTGGAAAAAGCTGCCTGAGGAGGGCATGACGAGAATTTCTGTTGAGGGCATTCAGCACAATAAACTTTTCAAAACACGCCGCTGAGCGAAAGCAAGTGTTGATTGCCTCGCGGTTTGTGCAGGTGGCCACAATCACCACACGTTTGTGTGCGGCAGTAGATAAAAGAGTTGAGTTCGTCGTGAGAAAAGCCTCCAGTGTGGCTTTCGTGGCTGCAGTCATCGCTTGCACGTTGGTCTCCTTTTGCTCTGGAGCAATGGTGTCAAAGCCATCCAAGACCAGCACCGAGGGCGCACATAGAACACATTCCACAAGAGCAGCGTGCAGCTTGGGTGAAAATTGCTTGCCGGCGGTGCACTCCACCACAACCGCGTGCACGTTGGGGAGTGCCTTCAGGACGCACGAAACCACCGTGGTCTTCCCGCAGCCTTTCCCGCCGCACAAGAGCACATTCCCACCTGCGCGTTGGGGGTGCTCAAAGACGCAGCGGAGGTGGTCCCGCAACTCACAAGGCACATCCCCGTGCACCTCGCTGAGTTGTTCCACACTCAAACCAGCCTCCGACGGTGGCAGCTCGGAGGGGCGTGGTTGGGCTTCTGGGGATTCATTCAGCGCCGCCGTGCCTGCCCCGCTCTCAGCGTCCTCAGGCATCACCAACACAGTGGTGGCCTGATCCACAAACGAGGCGTACGCTATCGCAACCCGTCCGTCATGCGGAACCGACTCGTCTAGAACCACCCGGACCTTTTCCTTGTGAGCTCGCAGGAAGGAAGGGGTGAGTTTGGTGTCCTCCAACGTAGATAGCGTTTGCAAATCAAGCGCGCTAAACTTGTCGTGTTTCAGATCTCCCCAGCAGAAACGTTCCGCGGTGCTTGGATGAACCGCAACCACTCCTTGCGAGGCGTCGCCGTCCGGTGGATGGAGGCCGTCGCTGCCCAGACTGCCGCCGCGGAGCATTGGGCTGCATCGAAGGAACCCCCATCGTGGACGCTGCGACTGCTCCTGATCGTCCTTGTTTAGGTCTTGACGAGGGCGGACAGCTACGATGAAGTGTGTACCTTCAAACATGGAGGCACACCCCTGAGTGATTTCCCTTTCGTCACCCTCCTCGATCTTTTGTACGATAACTTTTGCATGCGCACCGGCATAAAGGGTTGTCGTGATGATCATATTAGGAAAGACCACCTGCACGTTACGGAGCAGCTGGTTTTCAATGCGCATGGCATTTTGTTCTACCACCTCGCTGTCGTCGACGGTGAGTGGGGATACGAAAACTTTAGTCGCAAGGGGGACGTTGAGTAGTGATGTGCAGTTAACTTGATCATTCTCGCGCAGTCCGAGGTCGCTCGCCATAGTGTGTGAAAAGAAAAGTTTATGTTTGCCCTGCTGATGGGGCTTCTGTGTTAAGCAGCCCACGAAAACAACACTGCCGTCCTCCTTCGTCAGACGAAGAGGCAACACGGCTGGAGGCGCCCTGGCGTAGAGCGGTTTGACTATATTTTCGATCAAAGCTTCCGGGGCAATAACGAATAGATCATGGCGCGTATAATCCACCGCGACTAGAAGCGAACCCGAATTCATAATTTGAAAGCTTTGTGTGTTGATTGTATCTTTCAATGTTACTTAGTTTCACTCACTGAGCTTTCCAATTAGTAAACAGCAATCATAGAAGGAAGATTATGAGTGGTGTATTGCGAATCGAAATACATATATATATATATATATATATATATATATATGTATACTATATCTTCTTCTATATA